ATCGGAAGGCTGAGGCAAGAGAATTACTTGAACCTGGGAGGCAGAGGTTGCAGTGAGCCAAGATTGTGCCACTGCACTGCAACCTGGCTACAGAGCAAGACTCCATCTCAAAAAAAAAAAAAAAAAAAAAAAAAAAAAAAACCTAGGAGAAACTAAGGATTTCAAATGGAATAGAAATTATCTTACACTCTAGGGTCTAAATGAAAGGCATATATGTTTAAAATGTAAAAGAAAGAAACATATTACTTTCTTCTTTTTGAGACAGAGTCTCACTATGCCGCCTAGGCTGTAGTGCATTGGCACCAACATGGCTCAGTGCAGCCTCAACCGCTCAGACTCAAGTGATCCTCCCGTCTCAGCCACCCCCACCAAGGAGCTGGGACTATAGGCACATGTCGCCACACTTAGCTAGTTTTTAAATCTTTTGTAGAAGCAGGTTTTGCCATGTTGTCCAGGCTTGTCTTAAACTCTGGAAATCAAGCAGTCTGCCCTCCTTGGCCTCCCAAAGCGCTGGGATTACAGCGTGATCCACCATACCCAGCCTCATATGACTTTGAATAGGGCATTTGCTTATGCTTTGTAAGTTACTAGTAGTAAAAACTATTTAGAGTGATGCACATAAATAATGGTTCAGACATAAATATAAGACCTAAAGCTATAAAACCACTAGAAGAAAACAGGAAAACCACTTCAGGACATTGGGTTGAAGCAAAGAGTTTATGGCTAAGACCTCAAAAGCACAAACAGCAAAGACAAAAATAGCCAGATTGGACTATATTAAACTGAAAAGCATAACAAAGGAAATAGAGTGAAGAGATAACCTGTTGTATGGGATAAAATGTTTACAAACTATTAATCCAACAGGGAACCAAAGTTGAGAATGTACAAGAACTTAAACAACTCAACAGCAAAAAGCAAATAAGCCCATTAAAAGTGGGCAAAGGATGTGAACAGACATTTCTCAGAAGACACAAATGCCCAATAAGTATATGAAAAAGTGTTCAATATCACTAATCATCAGGAAAATGCAAATGAAAACCACAATAAGGTATCACCTGTGACAGAGGGGTTATTACTAAAAAGACAGAAAATAACATATGCTGGTAAGGATGCAGAAGAAAATCTCTCCTTTTTTTTTTTTTTTTTTTTCTTTTTTTCTTTTTTTTTGAGACAGAGTCTCACTCTTTTGCCCAGGCTGGAGTGCAGTGGCGTGATCTTGGCTCACTGCAACCTCCACCTCCTGGGTTCCAGCAATTATCCTACCTAAGCCTCCCGAGTAGCTGGGATTACAGGCATGCGCCACCATGCCCAGCTAATTTCTTTATATTTTTAGTAGAGATAGAGTTTCACCATATTGGCCAGGCTAGTCTCGAACTCCTGACCTTGTGATCCACCCACCTCAGCTTCCAAAGTGCTGGGATTACAGGCATGAGCCACTGCACCTGGCAGAAGAAATTCTTTTACACTGTCAGTGGGAATGTAAATTAGTACAGCCACTATAGAAACATAGTATTTCTCAAAAAAACTAAAAGAACTGCCATATTATCTGTCAATTCCACTATTGGGTATTTATTCTATGGAAAATAAATCAGTATATCAAAGGGATACCTTCATTTGCATGTTCAGTGCCACACTGAACAGTGTTCACAACAGCAAAGAACATATTCAACCTAAGTGTCCATCAACAGATGAATGGATAAAGCAAATGTGGTATATATACACAATGAATACTATCCAGCCACAGAAAAGAGTGAAATCATTTCCTCTGCAGAAACGTGGAAGGAACTGGAGGTTATTGTGTTAAGTGAAATAAGCCAGGCACAGAATGACAAATATCCCATGTTCTCTTACTCGTGTGTGGAAACTAAACATGTTGATCTCATGGAGGCAGAGAGTGGAATGATGGTTACCAGAAGCTGGGAAAAGTGTCGGTTGGAGCGGGGGCATGAAGAAACGTTGGTGAATGGGTACAAATATACAGTGAGATATGAAACAAAGGAATGTTTAATAGCAGAGTAGGGTAACTACTATAGTTAGTTAACAGTGAATGATTTTCATATTTCAAAATAGCTAGGAGAGAAGACTTGAAATGTTCCTGGCTTGAGGTGGTAGATACCCCAGATACCCTGATTTGATATTCTATGCATGTAACAAAATATCCCATATATCTCCTAAATATGTAAACCATCATGTATCAATTTTTCAAAAAGTATAGCAGTTTGGTACAAAAACTAGCTGGGCATGGTGGTAGCCACCTATAGTCCCAGCTACTCCAGAGGCTGTGGCAGGAGGATCACTTGAACCTGGGAGGCAGAGGTTGCTGCAGTGAGCTGAGATGTTGCCACTGCACTCCAGCCTGGGTGACAGAACAAGACTCCATCATAAAAAAAAAAAAAAAAAAAAAAAAAGTGTAGCAATTTAGTATTATACTGGAAGGATCAAAGAACCTAACAAATAATCTTTAAACCAGTCAATGCCCTGTGTGATTTGTTTACCAATAAATTGGATGGAACAGATGGAACTTTGTAGCAGACACAGGTGGTTTATTTTTAAATGAGGAAGGAATACAAATTCCCCAGGAGATAATCTCTTTCTCTAAGAACATAAAGTTTTATGGAGGAGCTAGAATATTCTCATATGAAAAATACCTAAGAATATATGCAAGTAATATATAAAACAGAAAAGTATTATATATATATTAAGAAAAACTTAGTTGTTCAGTTTTTAGTTACTGCTGAACATCCTGACAATTTAAATAAATCATTGTTTTTTCCCTAACCCTGTCTTAATTTCTACTCAGTTCCTCTCCTAACCAATCTACTTACGTGAATGTATTTTTCCAGTCACCGGGGCTAAGAATCAGTATATTGGAGTCATCTTTGTCTTTCACCCTTCCTTTATTAGCGTCCATTTCTACTTACTTAGGCCTTTAGTGCATATTACACCTTACATTTTCTAACAGTTTATACATTTTAAAAGATTTCCATCATTATATAATCACTGTGAGTTAAGCAGAAGTGATTAACATTTCATCACTCAAGTATTTATTGAGGGCCTACAAGGTGAGTGACATATAAATAAGGATGCAGAATCAGACAGGTTAAATGACTTGCCCAAGGTGACAGGATCAGTCATTATTAGCAGTCCTGTAATTCTAATGTCAACATTCTTTTTATTACACTATGATGCCTCTTAACTCATTATTTGGTCCATTACATTCACAGTGGGCTTCTCTGCCTCTGCTTTTCCTTCTCCAGACTATCTTGCACATCACCATTAAATTAAACAGTTGGCTGGGCGTGGTGTCTCACCGCTGTAATCTCAGCACTTTGGGAGGCCGAGGTGGGCAGATCATGAGGTCAGGAGTTCAAGACCAGCCTTACCAATATGGTGAAACTCCGTCTCTACTAAAAATACAAAAATTAGCTGGGCATGGTTGTGCCTGCCTGTAATCCCAGCTACTCAGGAGGCTGAGGCAGGAGAACTGCTTGAACCCGAGAGGTAGAGGTTATGGTGAGCCAAGATCATGCCAGTGTACTTCAGCCTGGGCAACAGAGTGAGATTCCATCTCAAAAAAAAAAAAAAACTAAACACAGCTTTCATTATAATGTAGCACAATAAAGAACTTTTCAATGGTTTCCTATTATATACAGGATAAAAACTTTATCTCTGCTTTTACATGTGAAATCTCTATTTAACTGTGATCCTCATATTCTTTTGAACATACTTTTACTTTTCTAAGAGTATGCCTTTGCTTTTAGCAGTGTTAACCTTGAGTTTCAAGTCTTTAAGTAACAGTTATTGCCACAGACCTAGGTATTTATGCACCAAGCATTAGCTATAGACTACATATATGCACAACAGCTACCCTGTGCATTTTGAGAGAGGATACGGAACTTCTAGTAAAGTTTTTGATATTTAAAAAAAAGTCCCCTTGGCTGGGTGAGGTGCCTTATGCCTGTAATCCTGGTGTTTTGGGATGCCAAAGCAGGAGGATCGCTTAAGACCGGGAGTTTGAGACCAGCCTGAGCAACATAGTGAGACCTTGTTTCTACCCAAAAAAAAAAATAAATAAATAAAAATGCCAGGCATGGTGGTACATGCCTGTAATCTCAGCTACTCAAGGAGGCTGAGGTGGGAGAATCAGTTGAGGCCAGGAGTTCAAAGCTTCAGTGAGCTATGATCGGGCCATTGCACTTCAGCCTTCATGACAGAAAGTCTGTCTTAAAAAAAAATCTTGTAGAGTTTCACTTCTGATAATTAACTCAGTGGTTTTGACCATACTTCTGCTGTGAACAACTATAAAAGCTAGACCAAAACAAAACAAACACCTGTTTAAAGGCACTTGTTAGTGAAAAGTTGTACTTTCCACTATCACAACAAAGAAAAAGGCAAAATATGCAGCAGGCGTCTTTAGATTTGGAGGCAAAACATAGTACAATTGGGTAAGCTGTTCTTAGATGCTTAACTGTAACTATAAGACTATCAGTTTTGGCCAGGCACAGTGGCTCACACGTGTAGTCCCAACATTTTGGGAGGCTGAGGCAGGCGGATAACCTGAGGTCAGAAGTTCAAGACCAGCCTGGCCAACATGGTGAAACCTCGTCTGTACTGAAAATACAAAAATTAGCCAGGTGTAGTGGTGCACACCTGTAATCCCACCTAACCGGCTGAGACAGGAGAATCCCTTGAACCTGGGAGGCAGAGGATGCAGTGAGCCAAGATCTTGCCACTGCACTCCAGCCTGGGTGACAGAGCAAGACTGTGTCTCAAAAAAAATAAACAAACCAGTTTTGAGTTGGGTGGGCCCCAGACTTAGGCTTTATGATTCTGTAGACCCAATGGTATTGGAAGTTAATGTAAGAGAGATGTTATATGAAGCCTCTGGCAAGTTTCAGTGCAAGAATTACAACATAGACTCTTAAGGTTTTGGAGTAAGGCTGTATTTTCCTTAACCGTGGTTTTGTTTCTTTTTTTTTTTTTTTTTTTTCTTTGAAAAGCACCTGTTGATTTGTGCTGGTACCTGGAAGAGATGTAACACCTGATCATGGGACATCAAGTGACTGTGTGAATCAAATTGCGCATCATGAATTGGTGTTGACTCACCAAACTGTACAACTGAATGAGCACACGAACAGTGCACTACATATGGGACTGGAACCATGAATGAGCCAGTGACTAGACTGCTATAGTACCTGCCTCTATTCCTTCAACACTTCTCCCTCAATGCACATAGATTGTCATCATAAGGAGTTCCCTCTGACCAGTTAATGGAAGAGAAAAAAGTATGGATCTTGTGGATATCCTAACAAATCTCTGGCCATTGGACCCCTAGAAACCTGTGGCAAGTCCTGGAAGTTTTTCAAGGACCTTTCTTACCAAAACATGTAGAATGCTGCCTACTTCTGCTCATCAGTTTTATTTAATATAATTTCATTACTATAATGGATCAGTGTGATATTCTATGGAATAACAAGATCATCAAGGTCCCTTCATACCAGATAGAGAACAGGAGAGTTGATGTAGCCTGAGACAAGACAGTAAGGACTTACTGTTGTCCTTCCTAGGTAAATATTTCAATGCAGTTTGTTTCTGATCCTCCTTATGACTAGAATGGGGGTGGGGGACATTTCCAGATCAATATCAGATCAGTATCATGTCAACATGTATATTAATTTCTTCCAAAGAAGACACCACACCTAGAACTGTCCTTCCCTATGATGAATCTGGTGGCCACAGGAAATTTAAATGGGAATGTGGTATGAATCACTTTGGCAGCATGGTGGCACTAATCTCTGCAATTTCTTTAGCTTTTTTATATTTTGAAGAAATGGAGTTTTGCTCTCTTATCTAGGCTGGTCTCAAACTCCTGGAGTCAAGCAATCCTCCTGCCTTGGCCTCCCAAAGTGCTGGGTTACAGGCATGAGCTACTGTGCCTGGCCAATCTCTACAATTTCCTCAGGGATATATAGTACTGCTTTTCCTTTACTATCTTAATAAGGGGTGGGAGAAAGCAGAACTAAGCTGCTGTGTAGCACTTTCCACCATGATGGTAATCACTCTGTGGATCAGGAACCAAAATAAAGTTTGTTATTAAAATATATCTGTTACTACAACACGTGGGACTGGAGAAACAACCACAGTATGGGTCACTCTGGATGCACTGATTAGCCACAATCAGGCTTAGGTCCCCTATTTTGACCACTTGTCCAAGGTAGAATTTATAGTTTTGGGTTTCTAGTATTAGTACAAGTTTAGAAACAGTGCCTTAAGAAATCTGGCCAACGGGGTGTGGTGGCTCATGCCTGTAATCCCAGCACTTTGGGAGGCCTTGGCAGGTGGATCATGAGGTCAGGAGTTCAAGAACAGCCTGGCCAACATGGTGAAACCCCATCTCTACTAAAACTGTTAAAATTAGGCAGGTGCCGTGGCAGGCGCTTGTAATCACAGCTACTCAGGAATCAGAGGCAGAAGAATCGCTTGAACCTGAGAGGCAGAAGTTGCAGTGAGCTGAATCACACACCTGCACTCCAGTCTGGGTGACAGAGTGAGACTACCTCTCAAAAAAACAAAACAAAACAAAAAAAACAATTCTAGCCAGACTGGCCAACATGGCAAAACCCTATCTCTACCAAAAATATAAAAACTAGCTTAGCATGGTGGTGCAGGCCTATAGTCCCAGCTACTCAGGAGGCAGAGAGGCTGTAGTCAGCTGAGATCACGCCGTTGCATTCCAACCTGGGTGACAGAGTGAGACCTTGTCTCAAAAACAAAACAAAACAAAAAGAATTTGGCTTATTTTGCTAATTGTGGCCATTGTGTCTCTTTGATATGCATTTATATTCTTAGTTTTTTTTTGAGATAGAGTCTTGCTCTGTTGCCCAGGCTGTAGTGCAGTGACGTGATCTAGGCCCACTGTAACCTCCACCTCTCAAGTTCAAGCCATTCTCTTGCCTCAGCCTCGTGAGTAGCTGAGACCACAGGTATGCACCATAACACCCAGCTAATTTTTGTATTTTTACTAGAGATGGGGTTTCACCGTGTTGGCCAGGCTGGTCTCGAACTCCTGGCCTCAAGTGATCTGCCTCAGCCTCCCAAAGTGCTGGTATTACTGACATGAGCCACGGCACCTGGCCTGTCTCTGATATTTATATGCCATTATGTGGCCTCTACTGCCTTGGGATTCTAATGTTCCCACTAAGATCAGCAAACCCAGATCCACTACAGTATTCATCACCATTATCTCTTGCAAACAAAGCCACTTCAGAGCTCCTTGGAAATGGTGGTGCTCACATCATCATTGCATTCCTTAATGACATGGTAAAAATTAACAATTGTTAGGGAGCCTTTGTATTTTCTGCTCTACAATAAGCCCAGGAATTTCTGGCATTTTGGCCATCTTATTTATAGGCTATTACTGAATTTAGCCTCGTCCTACCAAATTATTAATGCCAAAATATTAAATCTTGATTCTTAGGTAAGTACACCCATGCCAATAAATTTGCCATGATCTAACCTTAAATGTATTCCCATATCGCTGTCCAGGATCCCGCTGATTAAAATGGCAAGGCCATTAGTTCTCCTATGAAGGCTTTCTCTTTACAGAGAAGGCCTAATACCTCTCTGACTAGACTATGTTGGTCTATAACTGGAAGCACTAATAGGTAGTAAGGATAAGTTCTTTATTTTATTAACATTTTTTGGAGACAGGATCTTACTTTGTTGTTCAGACTGGAGTGCTGTGGTGTGATCATGGCTCATTGCAACCTAGAACGCCTGAGCTCAAGTGATTCTCCCACCCTACAGGCGCATAACACCCTGCATGGCTAGTGTTTTTTTTTTTTTTTTTTTTTTTTTTAGGAGACAGAGCCTTGCTGTGTTGCCTAGGCTGGTCTTGAACTCCTGGACTCAAGCATTTCTCCCACCGCAGCCTGCCAAAGGGCTGGGATTACAGGCATGAGCTACCGTGCCTAGCCCTAGCCGCTAAGTTCTGAGGAGAGCATGTATCAGCTTGTAAAGGAGCTTGTCCACTGTAATCACTGCAAGCCTCTATGCATAACAGCCTGGTTTCCTCAGAAAGAGGTTTAGGAGAATATTGATGTTCAGAGTTTTCAGCTTCATTTTCCTCTGCTCGAATAGCCCTATCCTATGTCTTAGGACCCCACTCTCCCCACCAATGCCCTAACATTAGAATAGGAAAGGGGAAGAATTAAGCATGTAATTGATACTACAAATCTACGATATCTGCCTGGTGATTACAAAAGATAATCAACTCCTTCAGACCTGAACTGGAGTTCTGATGCTCCACATAGGGACATTTTCTGTTTGTTGTCATTATTGTTTTTTGTGATAGTGCCTCTGTTGCCCAGACTGGAGTGCAGTGATATGATCTGTTGCCCAGACTGGAGTGCAGTGATATGAACCTCCACCTCCCAAGTTCAAGTGATTCTCATGCCTTAGCCTCCCAAGTAGCTGGGGCTACAGGTGTGTGCCACCATAACCAGCTAATTTTTTTATTTTTTCATATAGATGGGGTTTTACCATGTTAGCCAGTCTGGACTTGAACTCCTGGCCTCAAGTGATCCACCCACCTCAGCCTCCCAAAGTACTGGGATTACAGGTTTGAGCCACTGCACCTGGCCACCACATACAGACTTCATGGTAGTTTTAATGTTTTTCTTATGTATTTTTCTTTTCTTTCTCTTAGAGATAGGTCCCACTCTATCACCCAGGCTGGAATGCAGTGGCATGATCATAGCCTACTGCAGCCTCAAAATCCTGGGCTTAGGCAACCCTTCTGACTCAGCCTCCTGAGTTGCTGGGACAACAGGTATGTGCCACCATACCTAGCTAATTGAAATAACATTTTTATAGATTGGGTCTTGCAATGCTGCCCAGGCTGGTCTCAAACTCCTGGCCTCAAGAGATCCTCCCACCTTAGCCTCCCAAATAGGAGACTACAGGTATGAGCCACCATGCCCCTTAACCCACTTATGCCTAGTGTTCTATTATTGTAACACTAATCACGTGGGAGTTATTTATAGCCAACTGCTCAAGGTCATTGCCAAGGTCTGATTTTTCACCCATGCAAAATTCAAAAAATTGCAACCTCTGGCATAAATGGGTTAAGTACTTTCTGTTTCTGACCATAAGAAAAGTCAGGTGGATCTATAATCTTTATAATTACTATGGTTACCATGGTGATACACTCCTCACCCCCTTCATTCAATTTCATGTTGTTACTGGTAATCATACTACCCCAAACCAACTGGGCACAGTGATTCATTCCTGTAATCCCAGCACTTTGGGAGGCAAAGGCAGGAGGATCTCTGGAGCTCAGGATTTCAAGACCAGCTTGGGCAATATAGTGAGACTCTGTCTCTACAAAAAATAAAAATAGGTCAGGCACAGTGACTCACGACTGTAATCCTAGCACTTTGGGAGGCTAAGGTGGGTGGGTCACCTGAGGTCAGGAGTTCAAGATCAGCCTGGCCAACATGGTGAAACCCCGTCTCTACTAAAAATACAAAAATTAGCTGGGCGTGGTGGTGGGCGCCTGTAATCCCAGCTACTCAGGAGGCTGAGGCAGGAGAATCGCTTGAACCTCGGAGGCGGAGGTTGCAGTGAGCTGAGATCACACATTGCACTCCAGCCTGGGCAACAAGAACAAAACTCCACTGTAAAAAAAAATAAAAATAAAAATAAAAAATAAGTATAAATATAAATTGGCTGGGTATGGTAGTGCACATACGTAGTCCAAGCTACTCAGGGAGCTTAGGAAGGAGGATTGCTTGAGCCTAGGAGGTTGAGGCTGCAGTGAGCTATGGTCACACTACCGTACTCCAGTCTGTGCAACAGAATGAGACCCTATCTCAAAACAAACAAACAAACAAAACTTAAATACTGTAAGCTATGGATTACCTGTAGTCTGTGGTCTCTCTTTCCTTACAGCAATGAGGTTATTCTTCTGATTGATTTTATGTGTGCATGCGTGTGTGTGCGTGTGTGTATCCCATCCAATCTCAAAATCTTAACTTGAGGGTCCATTTCCTGTTATGACCTCTATTGCAAATTACTGTATTTTTAGAGTCTTAAGAAGAAATAGAGGACAGATTAAATATAAGAAGGCTGGGTATAGTGGCTCATGCATGTAATCCCAGCACTCTGAGAAGCTGAGGCAAGAGGAGGGTTTGAGCACAGGAGTTTAAGACTACCCTGGGCAACATGGCGAAACGCTCTTGCTACAAAAAGTACAAAAAGAATAGCTGGGTGTGATGGCGCACACCTGTAGTCCCAGCTACTTGGGAGGCTGAGGTAGGAGGATCGCTTGAGCCCAGGAGGTCGAGACTGCAGTGAGCCCTGGTCGTGCCATTGCATTCTAGCTTGGGTGACAGAGTGAGACCCTGTTTCAAAAAACTAGTTAAATACATTACATTAAAATTAAGAACTACTTTTTGTCAAGGCACCATTGTAAAAAGACAAACCACAATATAAGAAAAGATACTAGCCACACATATATTTGACCAAGAACTCATATCCAGAATATATAAACGATTCCTAAAAATCA